GCGCGCCGCCTTGTCCACGAACTCGGGCTGGGCCCCACACGTCCATGTGGAGGGTATGCAGGGGAGCCTCTGTCGGGGGAAACGAGGATGAGTGAGGAGCGGCGCGCTGCCGCCCCTCGACGCAAGGAATGCAGGGCTGCGCAGGCGAGGCAAGGAGGGGAGGGAGAGACCTGGGAAGACCAGACACAAGGAGGCAACGGTGCATGTCACATAGACGTGGCAAGGAGGGGTGACCCAGACGGTGGTGCCAGAGAAAAGTCTGGTACGACAGGGAGCGACACGAACAAGGGGAGGCTACCTGACCTGACGCAGACACCTGACCAGAAGCAGCTACCTGAGGATGCGTAGTCGTCAGTGTTTAAAGACTCGACCCTGGCCGACGGGTAAACGTGGTCAGGTGGCGGCCAGTCCGGGAGCACGTACAGATCGCCACACGCTGTCCTCCAGGGGTAAAGATGTAAACCCACTAGTCCTGGAGAACTGCGTTGCTCACCAAGTTCGTAGAGAACGAGGGGAGGTGGAGGCCTGTCAGTGAGCCAGACGGAACCGCCGGGCACGGGAGCGACCGTGCAAGAACTGGGCCCCCTGAGGGGTCAGCCAGAGAGACTGCAACAGGTGCAGTGAGTGGTGTGAGTGCAGTACTGTCACAAAAGAAACAGCGGTAAGCACCTGAGTCAAGCGTGAAGGTGTGCAAGGCCTCAGCAGGCGCAGTACCTAAGAGAGCAGACTAGCTCGCACCTAAGGCAGAAGCCTCTACACCTGGGTCAGGCGGCACACACAAGTAACAGTCTCCCTCAGCACTAACAGTCAATGCATACATGGCAGCAAGGATAGCATCATAGTTAATAGCAAAGATGTCTACACCAGCCCTAAGCAGCTCATGCCAGCGAGGGCGCTCGACCTCCTCGCCCATCTCCTCACGCCAGGCGTCGTCAAGGCGGGAGAAGCAGCGGTGCTTAGTGTGGAACTTCCCACATGTCTGGCCAGCGCAGTCACTTGTGCGAATGACATACGGGCAGCGACCACTACCCCCAGACGTCCCACGCTGAGCAAGCCACTCACGAAGCTGCTGAAGCGTAAGAGCCTCACGGGGACGCTGCTGCTGCTGCTGTCTCTGGCTAGCGCTAGTGCCTCCGCCCCGACCGCCACCGCCGCCGCCACCGCCACCCCGACCGCCACCGCCGCCGCCACTGCCGCCGCCACCCCCTCCGCCGCCACCGCCTCCACCACCACTCCCACCGCCGCCACCGACGCCACCACTCCCGCCAGCACTCCCGCCACCACTCCCTCCGCCACCTCCTCCTCCTCCACCTCCACCTCCTCCACCACCACCCCCCCCGGTGCCACCTCCGCTACTCTGGCTCCCTTGCCCTTGCTGTTGCGGTGCCTCCCACTAGGAGCAGAAGCAGCAGCAACAAACTCAGCACCAAGGAAGTCAACTGCAGCGGCAGTAGCGTAGGAGGAGGCGAGGGGAGAGGGAGAGCACCCCTCAACAATGGGGGTGCGAGGAGCGCCACGAGCAGCACCTACAGTGACTATGCTAGTCTCAGCGGCTAGAAGCTGCTCCTCTAGGAGGTCGACAGTGAGATCGGTGGGAGAGCAAGCGAGAAAGTGGTCCCTGACCGAACGAAGAGAGTCAGGGAGACGGGTCACTATGAAGTGGAGGGTCGAGTACATCGGAGGCGGGTTCTTAGCTAAGAACTCTTTGGGGAGGGCGACGCGAAGGCGAGTGTCACTAGTGCGAAGGTGCGTGATAAGATCGGCAACTGTGGCAAAGGTGGACAACTATGGAAACAGGTAGGGCAGCATGAGGAGGCTAAGTGCAGTAGTGGCAGGGGAGGAGTATTGAGTAACTACAGCGTCGTACAGGGCCTTAGCGGTTTTGTGCTCGCCAAAATGCGTGAGTTTGGCTAACGACAGGTGGTTGCGAATGGCTAGGCGAGCTGCAGCGTCACGAGTCTGCCACTGGGAACAAGCACTTAGCTCAGCTGTGGCAGCGAGAGCGATTGAGGCACCAGACGTGTGGTCAAAGAGAGAGACATTATCCTTGCCATCGCTCATTAGGAACAGCTGCAGGTCATCGAGCCAGGTGTCAAACTGAATCGGGCGGCCCTCAGTATCGAACGACAGAACGCGAAGGGTGACCATAGCTGCTGGCTCGGGACTGGCAGGGCAGAGCGATTGCAGGTAAGCAGCAGTAGCAGCAGTAGTAGCAGTAGAAGCAGCAGTGCAGCAGTAGAAACCGGTCTGCCAGGCAACTAGGCAGCGCAGTGAGGGTCAGCAGGGCGGCGCGGCTCGGGCAGTGCAGCGCGGCTCGGGCGGTGCAGCGTGGCTCGGGCGCGGCGGGGCAGTGCGGCGCTGGCAGCTGCAGCAGCGTAGCAGTGGCTAGAGCGCTGGCAGGGCGGGCAGAGTGCAGTGCAGCGCGGGCAGGCGGCGCGCGAGGCAGCAGGCGGCCGGCGGGGCAGCAGGGCGGGCGGCGCGCTGGGCGTAGCGGGCGGCCGCGGCTATAGCAGGCAGCGCGCAAGGCTGCAGGCGGCCATCAGGGCAGCAGGGCGGGCTGAGCGCAGGGCGTAGCGGGCGCCGCAACAGCAGGGCGGGCGGCGTACGGGGCTGCGGGGCAGTGCGACAGGTGAAGCGCGGCGCGTAGCAGGCAGCCGCGGCAGGGGCAGGCGGCGCGCGGGGCTACAGGCGGCGCGCAGGGCTGCAGGAGGCGCGCGGGGCGCAGATGGGGCAGCGCGCTAAAGAAAACTCGCGCTGCAGTAGTGGCGTGCGGCCAGCAGGGGCAGCGCGCAGGTGGCGTGCGCGGGGCAGCGCGATGCGGGGTAGGGTAGTGGCGTAACGCGGTAACCGCAGTCGGAATGGTGGGCCCGAAAAAAACGGTCCTACGGACCTACTGCTCTGATACCATGTCAGAATGAGAAGCTAGAATGACTGCATTGAAAAGATTGTGGGTACACGTACTAAACCTAACATTGGGTTGTACCCCATACAGGCTACCCTACTATAGCCTACACAGAACTAGCACATATATAGTTTGACAACGCGTGGCTGGCTTCGGGCCGCATTCGTCGCCTCATGGTGTGTCGTGCCGTGGTCGTCGTCTCCGTCGTGGCGGACGATGCCATCACTAGCCGCACTCGCGGGTCGCCCCACACTTCCATGTTGCGATGCCTGGGATGCGGGTTGTTCCGGCGTGCCAGGTCCTTGAGATTGTACTTCCTGTGCTCGTGCGACGTCGTTTTGCAGGGACGTGCGTTCTGCCGTCAACGCCGCGATTTCCTCAGAGCTTTCGCGAAGTTACTGCAGCAGTTCGTTCAGACGCTCCTGCGTGAGGGTGGTGACGTCGACGTGTTCGGCCACTACGAAGGGCGTCGGCTCTTCTTAGTCTACGCGCAGTCATGGCTGCACGCGTTTACGAGAGAACGCGAGGACAGCGGCTCCTAGGGGCTAAGGTGCGTGAGTCACTTCGAGTGAAAAATCAAAAGTGGATTTCATGGGGTGTGGAGATGCGCGGTCCGAAAAGAAAGTAGCTCTGAATACCAAATGTTACGGGTGCAATGAATCGGGGTAGCGAGGATTGCACTAAGTGTCAAAGGAGTACAAAATGTGAGCGAAGGCATGAGCGAACATTTATACGCGAAACATGCAAACGGTAGCGCGGTGCGTACGAGCTAGCTAGTGCTAGGCTGGCATCGAGGCTCGGGTTAGTCCCGAAGCATAGGCCGACACGGCCGGGCAAGCGGTGCATGGTTTGGTGAAACAGTGCGCGCGAAGTCGGCGAAGCACCGTTAGCAGTAACGGGCGAACAACGGCTGCTGCTGTACGCGATGTTGCAGGATGCGCTAAGGAATGTCGAGAAAATTCCTTATAATAGAACGTCCAAACAAGAACTCAGAATATGGTAAGCGTACAACAAGCGCCAAAATATGATGGGTAAGTATGTATGCGATGGGTGCCTACAATTTGAATTGGAAACAGTTATTGATGTCTCTTTGAAGTAACAAACTAGGGTAATATCAGTATTTAATGACAGTTTTTTATGTTCATGCTTATTGGGTACCCAGAATATGCACAAACACTGCCACTAACACTGCCTTTTCATTCATGAACATGTGCAAAATCACTGCCACATGGCGTCAAAGGAAAGGGCCCACGTCACGTTCCCTCTTGCCACGTTGACCTGGAGCAAATTCCGCTGAGCACCTCCCCTCATTGGCCCACTGGACAACTCTTGTCGCTCCGCAAGCGAACCTCGATTCAAACTTGTGTCAGCACAAAAGTGAAAACACTCCGTCTCGTGTTCTGTCAGGGTACACCGAGCCCGCTCTTTTCGGCTGTGGTTGGTTTTGACACGCGGCAGCAGAAATAGACCTTGATGTCGGTCGGGTTCTGTGTCAGATAGGACACCAAGAGCTTGCAAGCGTATTCTATAGTCCTGAAACTTCAGTCGAGACCTAACTTCGGGTCAAATAGCTCCCACTTCGGGTCAGAGATTGCTCGATGTTCCTGTCAAAATCGGTGATGAGCTGCTTCGGGTGTTCCGAATTCGGGTCCCGAAGTCTGACACGTAAAGGGTTGCGTAGTAAGAATGGCCCCTTACACAGTACTGAACAGAATTCGTGATAGATCCGCTCCACCTTGTTCCGCACCAATGGTAGCAGGAAGATTTGTTTTTTGAGAGTCGAGTTCGTCGCCACAACTTCACGGCCTGCATCCTGCAGTGAAGTGCACCATCCACTGATCCAATCCCTATCCGTGCTTCACCTCCCCTTCCCCTCCACCTTCACTAGTTCGCCTAGAGAAGACGAGTGGAGCAACAAACCCTAGTTCACTCAAAACAGACGCAGCTGGACACGACAGCCTTCTCCAAACAGGCCACTATTAGAAACGGCGTTAGGCGAAGAGCGGGAGTGTGGACGAGTGGAACGCCTGCTCTGATCATCTTCGAGTTGCACATTCTGGCAGGCTTTTGCGAGAACTTTAGATAGTTATTCCCCGCGATGTCCTTGGCCGTTTCCTTAGCCCACGCAGGCGGCGTGCCAGCATGCGTGCAGAGGAAGGGCGTCTCTCTGATCGCCAGCGAGCGAAGCCAACCTAATTCCGTCAAGTTCAGGCCATCTTCCTCCGTTTACAGTGTCTCTAGTAGTCTTGCGAAGACTACCGCCGTCAGACGACTAGGCGTCGCACAGCAATGGTAATGCGTCAGTTGCGACTGGAATCTCATCTTTGATGAATCCAAATTCGGAAATTTTTTTTTTACCATTACGAGTCTTTTTCGTTCCAAGAGTATGATTGACTTTTAAGGTCCGTTTCTCACCGCGAAAGCCTACTTCTCGTTATGTCGCCCTCTCCTTGATCCACCTTCTTCTTTGCTCCATCCTCTCCTCTTAGTACGTTCTCTTAAGACTTATACTCACCCTGCTTTTTGCCTGTTTTCCATTGATTACATACGTTTTTGTTCCCTTTTGCTCGACTCGAATCTCTGCGTGAGTAGGCAAGGCCAAGCCAGACATTCCCTGCGGACGAGGCCCACCCGAGCGACTCGTCCCTCAGCAGGCATCGCGCACCCCACGCTTTCTCACACCCCTTCCGGGTGCCGCTGCAGCAGCAGCAGCAGCACCAGGCTAACCTCCTCGTCCTCTTCCGCCCTTCAATATAGTCACCTCGGACAAAGAACTCGCGTGCAGCAACAACAGCGGCGGCAGCGTGAAGCTGTCGCCTCTTCCGAATTTCTCGGCCGCACCTTGCGCACGCCCGTCGCTCGCTCTCTTCCCCGCGCCACTCCGCCTTCCGCCGGCTCTCGCGCCGATTTCCCCCGCAGCCCTGATGGACCCTCCGCAGCCGGCGCGCGGTTCTCCCGCCGCTGCCGCCTGGCCGTGTCGCCGCGGTCGCAGTCGCAAGCGTCGCAGGGCCCCACCGAGCCGCAAGCCGCGCCGTCCGCGTCGCCGCCGATCCCGGCGGATATTCTGCCGGCGCTGGGAAACCTAGTGGAAATCATAGGCCGAATGAAGGAGGAGGAGGAGGGGAAGAAGGGGCAATACCTAGGTGACGACGCCGGCGAGGAGGGGGAAATGGGGGAAGCGGCGGGCGGGGAGGCGGAGCGGGTGACGATGTCGGACGCGGAGCGCGCGGAGGTGGAAGCGCTGCTGGGCGAGCGGCTTCCGAGCCACCCGAAGGTGCACCGCGGCATGCTCGATAACGGGCTGCGATACGTCATCCTGCCCAACAAACTGCCGCCCAACAGGTTGGTGGTTGCGACGGTGGACGAGCAGGGGGACGAGCGGGGGGGCGCGCATGAACCGGCGCTCCTTATTGGGCACGTCACCTTCCTAGACTCTTTGCTTTCCTCCCGACCCAAGGTCCGTTTCCCCCTTACCTCATTCCCGTTCCGTTTCCCTCATGCCGCACGCCAGGTTCGAGGCGCACCTCGAGATGCACGTGGGGTTGGTGGATGAGAGAGAGGAGGAGCAGGGCCTGGCGCACCTCATCGAGGGCTCTTTGCTCCCCTCCCAACCCATGCTTCGTTACCCCCTTCCCGCATTCTCGTTCCCCCTTCTCTAGTTCCCGTTGGTCAACCAGGTTCGAGGCGCACCTTGAGATGTACGTGGGGTCGGTGGACGAGCGCGAGGACGAGCAGGGCCTGGCGCACCTCATCGGGCACGTCACCTTCCTGGGGTCTCTGCCATGATTCCCCTCCCCCCTTTCCTCGTTCACGTCCCCTTTCCCCTCATACCGAACGCCAGGTTCGAGGCTCATTTGGAGATGCACGTAGGGTCGGTGGACGAGAGGGAAGACGAGCAGGGCCTGGCGCATCTGATCGAGCACGTCACCTTCCTGGGGTCGCGCAAGAGGGAGAAGCTGCTGGGCACGGGCGCGCGCTCCAACGCCTACACCGACTTCCACCACACCGTCTTCCACGTGCACGCGCCCGTCACCATGCAGGTGGGTGGGGAGGGGTGCGGTGGGTTGGGGTGGGGTGTGGTGGGGTGGGGTGCATGGGATATAAGCAAGCGCGAGAAGCTGCTGGGCACGGGCGCGCGCTCCAACGCCTACACCGTCATTCGCATGCACGCGCCCGTCACCATGCAAGTGGGTGGGGTGGGTTGGGGTGTGTGTGGTGTGGGATGGGGTGCGGCGGGGTGGGTTGGCGTGGTGTGCGGTGGATACACCACCCCACACCACACTCGAGGCGGCACAAGATTGTGCGATATCATAATGTATCGTTCTCCCCCCCCCATCCCGCCCGCCCAGTCTCCCCCCTTTGTCTCCGCTCCCCAGAGCTCGCAGGAGCCGATGTTGCCGATTGTGCTGGCAGCACTGCACGAGATCGCATTTGGACTGCTCTCACCCTGTGCATTCTCCCTTGCCACTCTTGTTCCCCCCTCCCGTCCCTCCCTCCCCCTCCCCATCCTCATCCTCATCCTCCTCCTCTCCCCAGGGCTCGCAGGAGCCGATGCTGCCGATGGTGCTGGCGGCGCTGCATGAGATCGCGTTCGCGCCCAAGTTCCTGCCGTCGCGCATTGACAAGGAGAGGCGCGCCGTGCTGTCGGAGATGCAGATGATGAACACCATCGAGTACCGCGTTGACTGCCAGGTGGGTACCGCGTTGACTGCCAGGTGAGTACCGCGTTGACTGCCAGGTGGGTGCTGCTGGTTGAGTTCCCTGGAACTGTGTTTGCTGTCAGGTGCATTATTGGTCATTTTTTGGCACCAGGCCTGCCATCTCGCTGCCACTATGCCCCCAAATTTGAGGCGTGGAAGGCGAGGCGCTGGACAGTGGAAAGACTTTTGAGGCGCCTCAAAAGTCGCCTCAAGAGGCGCCTCAAGAGTCGCCCAAATATGAGGCGTGGGAGGCGAGGCGCTGGCGCCCGTTCACTGTATGCATGCGTCCTCGTCTTGTTCTCCTTCCTTCTTCTCTCCCTCCCCACTAACCACCTTCTTTTCGTCCCATCTTTTTTCTCCTCCCACTCACCCCTCCCGTCACCCCTCCCCACGTCCCCCGCGCCCTTTCCCAATCCTCCGCGCGTCCACCGTTTCTCGCAGCTGCTGCACCACATGCACTCGGAGAACCTGCTGAGCTGTCGCTTCCCGATAGGGCAGGAGGAGCAGGTGAAGAAGTGGCCGGTGGATCAGATCCGCGCCTTCCACGACCGCTGGTACTTCCCGGCCAACGCCACGCTCTACGTCGTGGGGGACCTGGCGTCTGTGTCAGATATTATCCGACTCATTGAGGTGAGCGAACGACGGTGCTCTGCCTGCCCTGAGGTGAGCTCCCTGGCTTTGAGGTAGTTCACAGGTGGATCAGATCCGCGCCTTCCACGACCGCTGGTACTTCCCTGCCAACGCCACGCTCTACGTCGTGGGGGACTTGGCATCAGTCTCGGACATTATTCGGCTCGTTGAGGTGAGTGAGTGGGTGGTTGTTCACAGGTAGACTCACCGCCTTCCACGACCGCTGGTACTTCTCGGCTAACGCTATGCTCTATGTCGTGGGGGACCTCGCGTCTGTATCGGATATTATTCGACTCATTGAGGTGAGTGGCTGGGTTCGAGGTGGTTCACTGGGTAAGCCACAGCGGAGGGGAAGGGGTTGGTGCGACTCACAGCCTTCCACAGATATCATCCGGCTCATTGAGAGGTGAGAGAACTGCTCGGTTCGGATGTGGGCTGGCAGGTATTAAAGGTGAATCACTGGGTGTGTGTGTGGTCCTGGCTCACCTCCTTGCACGACCGCTGGTGAATCCCCAGTACTCCTGTCCATCAACTCACTACTTCGGTCTTTTTTCTGCTGCTCCCTGGGTCTCCCCCCCCACCCTGTCAGGAGCACTTTGGTCGCACCCCCCCAGGCATGCACATGCCGCCTCTTCCCAGCCCCACACCCACCATCCCCGCCCACTCCCCCTCCGTCCACTCCTCCACTCTCCCCCCCTCCATCTCACACCACCACTCCTCCGCGCCCTCCCTCACTCCCGCCTCCGCCTCCTCCGCGCCCAGCCTCACTCCCCCCATGCACCCCGCCACTTCCCCCACCATGCCCGCCGTCCCCCCCAGCTCCGCGCTCTCCGCCCTGCACCCCCATTCCGCCGAGTCCCCCTCCCCATCCGCCTCCCCCGCGACCATCCCCGGTCCTGTGCGCAAGGAGAGGCATGCTGTGCGCCCGCCTGTGCGCCACACGTGGGCGAGAGAACACCTGGAGGGGGAGAGCGCGGGGGGGAGTGCGGGGGAAGGCGCGGACGTAGGGGGAAGGCCGGGGGGAGAGGGGTTTTTGCCCCCGGCGGTGGTGCCGTCAGCAGCAGCGGTGCAGCAGCAGGCAGCAGCAAGGGAGGGCGTGGTGATGCCAGTTATCTTTCAACACGAGCTGCTGCAGAACTTCTCCCTCACCATGTTCTGTAAGGTGCGCGTGGTGCAGTGCAGGCACTGGGTGGGAGTAGTTGGTATTTGAGAATGATCAAGAACCAACTAGCAGCAGGCAGCCGCGAGGGGAGGGGGGGTGGCAGGTGAGGGGATGGTGATGCTGGTGATCTTTCAACACGAGCTGCTGCAGAACTTCTCCCTCACCATGTTCTGTAAAGTGCGCGTGGTTCAGTGTGGGCACTGGGAGTAGTTGGTGTTTTAGAACTAGTAAAAACGAATTAGCAGCACAGTAGGCTGTGGCAGCGGCGGGGAGGAGGTGGTTGGTTATGCTCGTGAGCGTTCAGACGATTCTTGAGTCGACTCAGAAATCGTCGTCTCATCTCACGTGGCAGTCGTTGTGAGCGAGGTTTCAACACGGGCTGCTGCAAAACCTCTCTCCCTCACCATGCTCTGTAAGGTGCGCTGTTGAATCGTGGTTCTGCCCGTCCTTGTATGGCCATGTCACTCCGACGTTTGATTCATGCCGACTCCTTCCCTGCTCGACACCCTGCACACCCCCGCGCCCCCACCAGAACCCAGTGAAGCAGGTGCAGACGCTGGGCGACCTGCGGCGTGCTGTCATGCAGCGCATTGTGCTCAACGCGCTGCAGTTCCGCATCAACAACCGCTACAAGGTGAGCGTGAGCTGGTAGCAAGGGCCACAGGGTGAGCCATGACCGGCTGGTACAACAAGGTGGGCAATTTTTCAGTCGACTCAACAATGTGCAGCGCATCGTGCTCAGCCGTGCAGTTGGGAATCAACAACCGCGCTACAAGGTGAGGCAGCTGCGACTGGTACAAAGTGAGCAGGCCTTTTGTATCGACTGAAAACAATCTTGCTCCATCTTACCATTCTCTCTCCCTGCATCCTCTGCCTGGTTGGCTTTGCACCGTCAAGCGGTAATTAAGCGAGTGGGTTGCACCGTCATCACGCTCACTCTCTCCATCTCTCTCTGCATGCCCGTGGCTCCTCAAATTATGACTCTCCCCTGGTGACTTTCAGAACGGCACAGTGCCTTTCCTAGGGGTGGACCTGAATCACAGCGACAGCGCCAGGGATGGGTGCACCGTGACCACGCTCACAGTCACAGCGGAGCCCACCGACTGGCAATCCGCGCTCACAGTCACGCTGGCAATCGCCTGCTGGTCACAATCGCCCCACTCACCCTCCATCTCACCCTGCATTCCCGTGCGCCTCCCTTTCTCCCTCTCTCCTTTACCCATGAATCCTCCCCTGTTGACTTTCAGAACGGCACAGTGCCCTTCCTAGGAGTGGACCTGGATCACAGCGACAGTGCCAGGGAGGGGTGCACCGTCACGACGCTCACAGTCACAGCGGAGCCCACGGACTGGCAGTCCGCGCTCACCGTCGCCCTGCAGGAGGTGCGGCGCCTGCAGCAGTTCGGCCTCACGCGCGGCGAGCTCGCCCGCTACGTCACCACCATGCTGCGCGACAGTGAGCACAACGCAGCTATGACGGACGCGATTCATTCCATCGACTCTCTGGATTTTCTCATGGAGAGTTTCGCCCTGGGCCATGCGGTTCTGGACCCCGAGCAGAGCTTTGAGTGCCTGTCGGCCATCGCGCCGACGATCGAGCTGGAGGATGTGAATGCGGCGGCGGCGGAGGTGCTGGAGTTTGTGGCGGAGTATGGGAAGGCGGAGGCGCCGCGACCGGCTGCGATTGTGGTGTGCGTGCCGACGAGGATGCACGTGCAGGGGGGCGAGGGGGGAAGGGAGAAGGGAGAGGAGAGGAGCGGGAGCGGGAATGGGGCGATGGTGCAGAGCTCTTCCTCTGCAGCTGCTGGAGCAGGGGCGGGGGTAGGGGCGACAGCGAGTGATGTGGTGTTTGAGGTGACTCCCGAGGCGGTGAGGGATGCGCTGCTGGCAGGGCTCAGGGAAGACGTGCAGCCCGAGGACGAGGTGAGCGGTGCAGCGCGGTGGTGAGCAATGCCAAGCAGGGTGAGGGGTGGGGTGCAAGGCAGTGGGGCCCGTGGTGGGGAGTGGTCAAGTCAGGTAGGCCTTACAAGATCTGGGTGATAGGATGCCATGCTCGGAAGTCTGATTAGGGGGCAGTTTGAGAAGGGGTGTGAGTAGAGGGGCTGTGAGTGTCAAACCAGAAAGGTGAGAGATGCTGAGCTGCTGACGTTGATGCTAGTGCCCTCTCTCTTCCCCGTTCTTGGCCCCATCCGACGTAGAGGTCCCTTTTCTAACATTTTGGATTCCCCGTTCTTGTTCCCATGCCAGGTGGAGGTCCCCCGCACGCTCATTTCCGATGCTGAGCTGGCGGAGTTGCAGCAGAAGATCCGGCCTCGATTCGTGCCGTTCCCGCCCACGGAGGGTAACGCTGCTGACGTGGCGCCGTCTGAGTGGCGTGTGCGGCAGTACAACAAGGAGACGGGCATCATCCAGCGCCGCCTCAGCAACGGCATCCGCGTCAACATGAAGGTGGGGAGCGGTGGAGTGCGGTGAACATGGCGTGATGGGTGGTGAGGAACGATGGCTGGCTGGGGTCGCAGTGTGACCATGGGACGGTCAAGCAGATCAATGCTATGCCGCGCACTTATTGCACGTGTCAACACTCCCCTTCCACCTTTCCACCACCCGTGCGCAAGTGAAATTTGAGGAGGCAAGTAGTGGCGTGCCGCGGCTGGTGCGCTCTTCCGCGCTATCGCACTCCCTGTACCCCCTGCCTATTGATACACACTGCTTGCTCCCCTCCTCTGCACCCCACACCACCGCACTCAACATCAGCTCACCGTACCCCACGCCACTTCACCATACCCCACCCAACCCCACCCCACCGCACTGCAAGCAGGTGACGGACAACGAGGCAAAGGGCGGGGTGCTGCGGCTGGTGTTCCCGGGGGGGCGGGCCAAGGAGGACCCGCAGGGGGCAGGCGAGGTGGCCGTGGGCGTGAGGACACTCAGTGAGGCGGGGCGCGTTGGGGACTACAGCCGCGAGCAGGTGGAGCTGTTCTGCCTGGCGAATCTCGTGAACTGCATGCTGGAGGCGGATGAGGAGTGCGTCGCACTCGACCTGCACTTCGCCACGCGCTACGGCGGCCTTAAAGCGTCCTTCCAGCTCCTGCACATGCTGCTGCAGGTGGGATGTGGGGGATGGTGGTGATAAATTCTTCTGCAGGTGGGGTGGTGCAGGTGGGATGTGGTGTTGTGGTACGGTCATGGTGCTGTGGATTGAATGGTGGATGTATGGTGGTGAACTGCAACTGGGAGCATGGACTTGCACCTGCAGGTGAGGTGCCATTCATGTGCCATCACTCTTCCCCACCAAGTAAATCACATCATCCATGACATCGTCTCTGTACAGAAAAACAACCCCTTTCTGTGGTTCCTTCACTTCTGTCCTCCGCGACACAGAGCAGTGCATCTGCTCTTCTTGTCGCACTCTTTCCTTCCCTCGCTCCTTCTCGTTGTCGCACTACTGTGCTAGTTTCTAAACACCTGTGAGAGAGGGTGTACATGCCTGTACCAAACAATCGTGCATCCTTTTCCATCCATCCCGCCACCCCCGCGGCTCCACGTGCAGCATCCGGCATGGGACGAGGATGCGCTGGAGAGGGCCAAGCAGGCATACCTCTCCTTCTACAGGTGCGTGGCGCTCCCTTGCTGTCGTGTGACCTGTATTGCGTGTCTCCCTCCCTCTACAGGTGTGTGGTGCGCAGTCCGTGCTTCTATGCTGCTTGAGGTCGCGTTTTGAGTCATCCCAAAGCCCGTTGTATGCTTGTTCAGCTCCCCGCGTCTGTCGACAACCCTCCATAAGTCTTTTGGCTGGGCGCCCTGGATACTAATTCTCCCCCCGTCCACGACCCTTGACATGTCTCTCTTATGGTGCCTCATGCTCGAGAAGCACACCCTCTCTCACCCTTGTCGTCTAACCTCCTCTCGTCATGCAAAGGGATGTTCCACCGTCCAGGTCAGTTTCCTTCTCAAGAGTTCGGGGTTCCTCCTGTCTCCCTCACCCTTGCTGTCGGTTCGTTTTCCCTCCCCCCTTCATGCTGCTGACCCCCATCACTCTTTGCAGGTCTCTCCCGAAGAGTCTGGAGCGGCTGACAGCGAGCAAGCTGATGGGCGCCATGTTCGATGGGGACACACGGCTGCTGGACCCGCATCCCGCCATTGTGTCCAACCTCACGCTTGACACCGTGCGCCATGCCGTCATGCAACAACTGCTGTCGGGGAACATTGAGGTGCGTTATTTGTATGACATCTGCATCCCTTGCTGTTTTGCCCTGTCTCGATTTACCCTTTGCTCCGGAGAAGGTAAAGAACAAGGTTTTGATGATGTTGTGACATCCAATTTTGCCGCTGCCTCTGCCGTCCCACCTCCCCTTTCCTCCCCACTCCTCCCCCTTTCTCCCCTTGTGCATGCACAGCGATTTCAGCGAGGAGGAGACAGACTTTATCCTCAAGTACCCATGCGCTCTCCTCTCCTCTCCTCTCCTCTCCTCTCCTCTCCTCTCCTCCCCTCTTTCCCTCCCCTGTCTCGTACCCCGTATACCCGCAGTTGAGCATACTGGGCGATTACAGCGAGGAGGAGATGACGGACCACATTCTCAAGTACCTCGCCACAGTCACCGCACTCCCTCCCCACCATTGCTGTCAACCCTTTACCGCTGCCTCTAACCTGTGCACATATCCATTCCCCTCCTTCCCCATGCTCCCTCCTACTGCAGTTGAGCATAGTGGGCGATTTCAGCGAGGAGGAGATGACAGACCACATTCTCAAGTATCTCGGCACTGTCACCGCCCTCCCTCCGCCCGCCCACGTCGTCTCGCCCTTCGCCGCACTCCCTCCCAACCCCGCCTCCGCGCCCTCGCCCCCCTCCACCACTGTGCTGCCCCCGCTGCACCCGCCCCCCGTGCTCGCCCTCCCTGGGGAACCGCCCTTCAAGATGGTCACTTCCTGCCCGCCTGCCCTGCGCCACCAGAAGGTACGCACCTCATTGGCGTGTGGGACCAGAAGGTACGCACCTCATTGGCGTGTGGGACCAGAAGGTACGCACCTCATTGGCGTGTGGGACCAGAAGGTACGCACCTCATTGGCGTGTGGGACCAGAAGGTACGCACCTCATTGGCGTGTGGGACCAGAAGGTACGCACCTCATTGGCGTGTGGGACCAGAAGGTACGCACCTCATTGGCGTGTGGGACCAGAAGGTACGCACCTCATTGGCGTGTGGGACCAGAAGGTACGCACCTCATTGGCGTGTGGGACCAGAAGGTACGCACCTCATTGGCGTGTGGGACCAGAAGGTACGCACCTCATTGGCGTGTGGGACCAGAAGGTACGCACCTCATTGGCGTGTGGGACCAGAAGGTAAGCCGCCGTGCTGCCCCCGCTGCACCCACCCCCCCCATTGCTGGCCCTCCTGGCAAGCCGCCATTCAAGGTGGTCTCCCCGTGCCCGCCTGCCCTGCACGACCACAAGGTGAGCCTCGTCTCATCTCGTCTCGTACACAGCTAGAATGTATGTGTCGTCTCATCTCGTGGGCGGGTGTGTGGGCATGAGAAGGTGTGCTTGAATTGAAGGTCCGGCCGTGGTGCGATTCAAGGGCTGCCGAGTGAGTGCAGCGTTACACACGGCTCAGAACGGGCCAGCATTCAAGGTGGTCTTTTTGTGCCTTCTCGCGCTGCCTGTCTCAAGGATGCTTAGGCACAAAGGGTTGTCCCCTGCTGCATGCTCCCCTCCAGACGCCTCTTCATGCTCGCTACCTAAGATGCCTCCTCCCTTTCCCTTCTTCCCTCCCCCCCTCTCCTCGCCCTCCTTTGCCCAACCCCTCTCCCTCCTCTCCAGGTGCTCTTGCGAGACACAGATGAGAGGGCCCGAGCCTACATCGCAGGTCCGGCACCTAACCGGTGGGGATTCGCACCGGATGGGCGGGATATCAACACGATCCTGGAGCCCATTCCGCCTGGCTACACAGGTACGGCACGCACCACAGCTGTGCGCAGGTAGCTGCCTGATTGATTGGGTGTGTGCTTGGGAATATTCCGCCCGGCTGCACAGGTACAGCGCGCGCCACAGGTTGTTTTTGAGTCGACTCAAGAATACGCCTGGCTGCACAGGTACAGCACGTGCCACTGGTTTGGATGCAGGTACGGCGCGCACAGCCATACACGATTGCTCCAACTGCTCTGCACCTGAATATGTGGCCTTCAAAACCCTGAACCCGGACCCACTAAATTTCAAAGCCATAAGCCGTGGTCTTGTGGTTGCACGAGTGTGCTCACACAAGGTAATAGTGGATGAAGTTAGTCGAAACAAGTAGTAATAGTTTTTACATGTATCAGTGTACACCGCTTGAGTGCATGCTATCGCCTAGTCTGCCATCACCATTAAAACATCACCACCACCATCACCATAACCACCACCACCATCACCATCACCACCAGCATCGCGAGCAGCAGCAATGGCAGATGAAGGCCCGCTGCTGGCGAGAGCAATGAGGCACCTTTTCACCATGGGGCGAGGCAACACGCACAGCCCTAATGGAAGGGCACCGGGAGGAGCGGGAGCAGCGGGAGGTGGTGGGAGGGGCGAGGGCAGCCTTTTAGGAGACCCTGGTAAGTCCAGTCTCACGGCTCCCTCGCTCCTCCCTCTCCCCATCCCTGCTCCTCCCTTTCTTCACCCGCTCTCCTCCTGTTTCCCACGCCCTCGCGCCACCCGGTAGAAGTAGCCAATTTCTTTCGCCTTTGTGTTGGACCATCTTCTCCTCTTGTATTTTTTAGTTCGAGATGTCTCGAGAATAGCTGGCCTCTGCTGCTTTCTTCCGGAATTGAAATTCCATTCATCCGTCTTGCAGTGGCACCGCGGGGAACAGCAGTGGTGGAGGGGGCAGACAGGCGCAAGTACCTTCCAATGCCGCTCAGCTCAAGAGGTCACCTCTTTAAGGCCCCTTGTGCCTGTGTGGTTGTGCCTGCGCGGATGTGCATCTTCCCTTGTGAGCAGATGCACAGGCGGTGGCGGTGGCGCCGTTGGGAACAGCAGTGGTGGAGGGCGCGGACGGGCGCAAGTACTGGCACCGGCGCCGCCACCCGCTGTACACGTCGGTGGGCGTGCTGCTGCTGCAGGAGATTGTCAACGCTCGGTGCGTTAGGAGTGTGGGTTGATGTGGGGTGGGTGTGGGGTTGGGTGTGGGGTTGATGTGGGGTTGGTGTGGGGTTGATGTGGGGTTGGTGTGGGGTTGATGTGGGGTTGGTGTGGGGTTGATGTGGGGTTGGTGTGGGGTTGATGTGGGGTTGGTGTGGGGTTGATGTGGGGTTGGTGTGGGGTTGATGTGGGGTTGGTGTGGGGTTGATGTGGGGTTGGTGTGGGGTTGATGTGGGGTTGGTGTGGGGTGGGTGTGGGGTGGGTGTGAATGCGCTGTGGGTAGAGGCGTGGGTGGGTGTGGGGTTGGGTGTGAATGCGTGGCGGGCAGGGACAGGATGTTGACAGGATCCTTTCCTTCTCCCAGTGTCCTCCCTAACAACTTCTTCACAACAGTTTTTGAAACTGTTGTCCTCTCTCCCTGGTAACTAAATGTTTTCTCCACCACCCCTTCCCCCCCCCCCCCCCCCCCGGGACCCTCTCTGCCCACACTAACAGACTCTTCCAGATGGTGTGAGACGCCCTTGACCTCTCACTCATTGCTATTTCTTCCCTCCCTCCCTCTCTCCCTCGCTCCCTCTCTCTCCATCTCTCCCCTCTCTCCCCTCCCTCTCCCCCACCGCCCCTCTCCGTGCCAACAGCCTCTTTACAACCGTTGGAGACTCCCTGGGGCTGACGTACGACGTCAACATCGAGATCTCTCTCTTTGACCGCCTCGCCACCGCCTGGTTCTGCATCAGCGTCACCTCCACTCCCACTCCCTTCTTCCTCTGATCCCGGTTCCTCACTCCTTGCTGACCCCCTCCTCTTCTTTCCCACTTCCCCTTTCCCTCCTGCCCCTTTCCCCCCTTCCCCGCCGTTCCCTCCCCTCCCCCCACTCTCCACACCAACAGCCTGTTCACGACAGTGCGGGACGCCTTGGGGCTGACATACGATGTCAACTTTGAGATATCGTTGTTTGACCGCCTCGCCACCGGCTGGTTCTGCATCAGTGTCACCTCCACACCCGCCAAGATCCAGCAGGCCGTGGAAGCTTCCCTGAACGTTCTCAGGGGGCTGCAGGCGAACCGCATCACACAGAGGGAGCTGGACCGGGTGCGTTGAGATGAGAGCGTGGACGTGTGTGTGGAGTGGCGCTTGCATGGGTGTGACTGGGGGGCTCTGAGATCCGCTCGTGTGGGTATGTGGGGAGGGCGTTCAGCGGCGTTTGTATGGGTGTGTGGGGCGTTAGTGGCGCTCCTATGTATTTGATGCAGTCTGCAGTTTGAGATGTCCTGGGCCTGACATATGATGTGAAGGTGGGTGCATGCGAAGGTGCAGATGGGTGCATGGCAGAGTCAGACGTCAAGGACAATGATGCTCTCTGGGCGTGATCACACACCTGCAGTGCCAATCTCACCTTCTTCCCCCATCTCCGCTCCTCTCTCCACCCTCTTCCCTCTCTGTAACACACAAAGCGCACGCTCATCATGCGGCACGAGTTGGATCTGAAAGACAATGCGTACTGGCTGGGCATGCTCACACGCCTGCAGTGCGACTACGTGGCTTGCCGTCCTTACCCTTTTCCGCTCCTCCAATCCCCCTGTTCCCAACCCTTTGTCCCCTGTGCAGGCCAAGCGCACGCTCATCATGCGGCACGAGTCGGATCTGAAAGACAACGCGTACTGTCTGGGCATGCTCACTCACCTGCAGTGCCAGTCTGACCTCCTCCTTTCCCCTTTCCCCAACCTCTTTTTTCTTCCCTTCGTCCCCTGGACAGGCCAAGCGTACGCTCATTATGCGGCACGAATCCGACCTCAAGGACAATGCCTACTGGCTGGGCATGCTCACACACCTGCAGTGCGACTACGTGCCGCGCAAGACGGTCTCGTGCATCGCGGACCTGCCGTGTATCTATGAGATCACCACAGTGGACGATGTGTACACGGTGTACAACCACATCCCGCTCGATGATAACAGTGTCTTCACGTGCATTGGTGTGGCCGGGGCCGTTGGGTCGGACGTGGACTCGGCAGGAAGTGAAAGTGATGCGAGCGACGCAGGTGAGAGAAGGCTATAGGTTGTTCTAGGTTGTTCTAGGTGATGATGGGTATGACCTGCCGTGCATCTATGAGATCACCACAGTGGACGATGTATACACGGTGTTGTGTTGTGTTGTGTTGTGTTGTGTTGTGTTGCGTTGCGTTGTGTTGTGTTGTGTTGCGTTGCGTTGCGTTGCGTTGCGTTGTGTTGTGTTGTGATGTGTTGTGTTGTGTTGGAGGTGGTTTTCTTGGTGGTTGCAAGTTTCTGTTTTTAGGATTTGCCATGCCATGCAGTATCACCAGCAGGCGCGATGAGCGGCGGCAGGGGTGCCTCCCTATTGACCTCTTTGTCTCCCCAACCCCATTGCCCATCCACTTCTCTCCTCCCATTTTCACCCATCAGAGCCAGTATCACCAGCGGGCACAATGAGTGGCGGCAGGGGCGCCTCCCTGATGACGCGGCCCACAGCATGAGGGGTGGCCGTGCTCCCTGTTCGTAACCAACTGCCCTGGCACTCAGCATGAGGGGTATCACGCGCCCTGGCATTCTAGCATGTCAGAGCTCAGCTACTCTGGACTTTTGAGCAGCAAGTTCTCCCCTGGTGGATGGTTGCATGGTGGCATGGTTTCACTGCTGCAAGTGCCCACCACTGTCCTGACCCATGGAACGTTGAGACTCCCCTGAGCTCTGTACCTTCACAAATCAATACAACGGGCTTCGAGGCAGCGATCCGCCGGCTAAGTTTTTTCCCCAGGGCAACGAGTTGTTCCACCTCATCATCCTTCCAGCAGCGTCCCTGCACCTTTCAGCACCTTTCAGCACCTTTCAGCACCTTTCCAGCACCTCACACACCTTCCCCACATCTGCTCATTGCCCCTGCAGCTTCAGTGTCATTGCCCCATCACCACCATCCATGCCTCCTCCCCACTCCACCTTGGCGTCTGCCACACCATGTGAGGTGAACCACCAATCAAAACCAGCTCAGTTCCTCACCGGGGTTGTTGCGAGGATAAAATAAGCAAGGGTAGAGAATGCCACCCAGCTTGTATCATTGTGTTGGGTGGGTTATAATGTGTTAAAAACAGGAGTGGTGGTTTGTGTGCGCTTTGCAGTGCTCACACCTGGCCATTGCTGGATGCCTGGTGTTGGAAAGTGCATGGGGGAGTGTCCCCGCCCATACACGCTCGCATTGGAACAGGTGGTTGTTTTGTAGAATTTTACCACACTTAAGATTCTCTGAAATGAATTTCCTTATTCTGACTAACAGTTCAAAAATTGCCAGCTAACTGTGTGATTATTCCTCACAGAAAGAGACTTGCAACAGAGAATTTTCTGTTATTTACATTTCCGTTTAGCAGAGGGGTGCGTTCTTGGAATTGTTGATGATATCGTAGGATTGGGTTGGAAGAAATGACAAGACGACCATAAGCATTGGAGAGAAAGGGCAAAAAATATGCTATAATAATTAGGTACAGCACCACCTAGGCTATTAAGAGAAGCAAATTTTCAGATTTCGCTGACTGATGTTTCACAATGCGTTTGTTGGGAAAAAATCACCACCTTCATATTCACGCTCGGTTTGAAACCAGGCACAAGCACTATGGTTTGTTGTTCCGACTGGGTTTGGGTGCTCTAGGGTTGTGATTTGTGGTTAACGATACACAGCTTAAAGCCGTTGGCCCAAATTGCACAAGTTTTTAAAACTTGGCCCAGGGGAACAACGGGTGGCGAGGGGTGTGAAAGTGAAAGTTGGGAGCCGAAAGAAGGCACACCCAGTAAGCGAAATCGCGAATTGTTTAGCGAACAGCCGAGTCAAACAATAGAAAACCAGCCAATAGAAATTGTCGCACGGCGCACCACACACCGCGACCAAAAAACACACAACACAACACTTCCGCAGCTCTTGCGCTGCCACACACACAACACCATGACCTAGGCTTTCGACAACCAACCATGAGGCCCGCTAGTACTTGATACTGCATACAGCAGCCAACTACAGTAGGCGGCACGAGCAAGCACACTTGCGTCGCGGATGATAAAACTGCCAAATCCTTAGCATTACGACAGCCATAAAGGTTGCAGTTGAGATAAAAAACGTCACACGACCGTCATCAACAAACAGAACCACTTCATTCGAGACGGCGAGATAGGGAATATGGCCCGTCGCCCTGGAAAGGATGCTTCCCGAAGGTACGAAAAAGCCGTAGACACGGCACGAACGTCGGCGCATTCTGAAAGCATCGGAATGCGGCGGAATATCAAACACTGAATGCCAGCGCGGATAACGTCATATGGCACTACGTGGGAAACCTCACTTTCGCTCAATAAATAGCGACGCCACTTGACCATCTTCAAGGCACCCACCTTCGCCATCACTTCCCCCTACTGTCGCCATCACTTCCCCCTCCCGTCGCCTCCACTTCCCCCTCACGTCGCCTCCACTTCCCCCTCCCGTCGCTTCCACATCCCCCTACAGTCGCCTCCACTTCCCCCACCCGTCGCCTCCACTTCCCCCTCCCATCGCCTTCCCTTTTCCTTCCCGTCGCCTCCACTTCCCCCTCCCGTTGCCTCCACTTCCCCCTCCCGTCGCCTCCACTTCCCCCTCCCGTCGCCTCCAGTTCCCCCTCCCGTCACCTCAACCTCCCCCTCCCGTCACCTCAACTTCCCCCTCCCGTCGCCTCCACTTCCCCCCCCCCGTCACCACAAGTTCCCCCTTTCCCCCTGTGTGGTCCATTTCCCCCTTTGCTCGCCCCTTCATTCCCCTGCTCACTCCCTTGCCCCTTGAACACACTCTTCCCCTCTGCTCACTCCCTTGCTCCCTGTGTGGTATATTTCCCTCTCCTTAACCCTTGCTTACTTGCGTTCCCCCTTAGCTCACCCCCTTCTCCGCCCTGCTCACTCTCTTTCCCCCTTAGCTCACCCCCTTCTCCACCCTGCTCACTCTCTTTCCCCCTAATCTCACCCCCTTCTCCACCCTGCTCACTCACTTTCCCCCTTTTCTCACCCCCTTCTCCACCCTGCTCACTCTCTTTCCCCCACTGCTCACCCCTTTCTACACCCTGCGCACTCTCTTTCCCCCTTTCCTCACCCCCTTCACCACCCTGGTCATTCTCTTTCCCCCTTTGCTCACCCCCTTCAACACACGGCTCACTCTCTTCCACACTTGCTCACCCCCTTCTACACCCTGCGATCTCTATTTCCCCTACAAACACCCTCCCTGTCCCCCAGTCCTACCCTCCCTTTCCCCCCCTCCACCTCGTCCTTCCCCGCACTACCCTTTCCTTTCCACCACACCCGCCCGTCCAATCCCCCACTTCCCCCGATCCAATCCCCCACTTCCCCCCATCCAATCCCCCACGTCCCCCCGTCCAATCCCCCACGTCCCCCCGTCCAATCCCCCACTTCCCCCCATCCAATCCCCCACTTCCCCTGGTCCGCTTTTCCCACAGCACTAAGGCCACACCACCTTTCCGACCGTGCGTGCCCTCCTATCTTGCAGCGACCCATTTCATCCTAGGTGCGCCCTCCCATACAGCGCCTCGTTCTCACCAGCACCATCAACACCACCCATTCACCACACCATCAACACCACCCACTCACCAGCACCATCAACACCACCCACTCACCAGCACCATCAACACCACCCACTCACCAGCACCATCAACACCACCCACTCACCAGCACCATGTACACCACCCACTCACCAGCACCATGATTATGGCGGTTGAAATGCGCTCGCATCACCTCACACGGGTGATGCGGGGGGAAGATGCTGCAGGATGGGTTGTACGAAAAGGAGGGGATGTGAACCTGCAGAGGGGAAGGTGGGAGAGGCACCACAGTGGGCTCCTTTCCCCCACTTATTATTCCCCGTCGGGGCTCATCATCTGTTTTGGTGTCCACCGTCAATCTCGTCCATCTTTCCTCATTCAAATGCTGCTGAATCTGCGCGCACGCCCAGCGTTGTCGCGCAGGAAATACAAGTTGTCCGTCATTGTCTTTGGCTGTTGGGGTCTCCCTTGTAACGCATATCCAGCCATCGATTCCAAACCGTGCAAATCTACACACCATTTCCAAACCCAACCTTCAGGCGTGGGAGGCAGACGGATGCAAGAGCAAGTGGAGGGTCCACTGTAGCGAATCTTAGCGACGAGCATGACAAGGCGGTTCACGGCATATCCAAGCATATGAGGCCAGTCATATGCCTTCAACGATGCGGGTTGTCGGCATTGATGGGGGGGAAGACCGAGGCGACAACTGCTGATGTTCTTTACTACTTCATGATGAACGCCCCTACAGCGTACAAACGGCTGATGCGGGCTGCCAAAGAAGCAGGTAAGGGTGGAAAGTTGGTGATCAAGTCCTAGCATGGTCGTGTGTCCGTGATAGTTGAGCAATCTGAACGTTTAGCGCATCACAATGGCACAAGCAGCCACACAATAATGGATGGGATATACTTGGTGTCACCGTTGTTCCGTGGCAGGAACACATGGGGGAGATGCATTGGCGACGGCAGAGCTTCACCTTGAGGCATACGGGCGCCAGTTCGATGCACGGGCAAACAGTGGTATTAACGCCGTAACTGGGATAGTGGAGAAGGCAGATCGCCCAATCGAGGGTCTGGTTTACAACTTCCCGCCCTACAAAGAGGATAAGAAGGGGAAAATACGCCCTGTTCGTGGAAACGGTTGGGGTGGGGCCCGAAGGGGTAAAGCCTTCGAGAGCGTGCGGAGACAAGGTGAGCAACAGCGTGGCGTTGGCACAAGAGTATGCTATGTTGGTCATACAACCATGCAGCATGCTTCAGACGGAGGGTTTGTGAAGGCTGTACTGTTTATGAAGCGAAACTGAACTAGAGTCTGAATGCAAGTGCGTGTATACCCTAATGATTCTGATACATGGCGTGTGTGCAGAGGTTGCCCAATCAACAGGAGCTGAAACAGAGGGGGTTGCTCCAAACCTGCAGCCTCATCCTTGCACGATTGTTAGCAATGAAAGCAGCCAAGAGCACGCGGCACTCCATGCAGCTGGCGTACCAGATCAAGCCCAAAGGTGAGACAGTGCGTAGATGGGGTTGGTTGAATGAGGTGTAAAACTAGGGGTGGTATTGAATGAATAGGTGGAAAGTGAAGACATTCGAGCATGCACGAGCCCTCACACACCTACACATGCCCGCACGTGTGCATGAGCTCATAAGAATACAGACACATGCACGCACCTTTGGCACCATGCAGTCACATGCGCACGCACCTTTGGCGCACCATGCAGTCACACGCACCTTTGGCACCATGCAGTCACATGCGCACGCACCTTTGGCGCACCATGCAGTCACACGCACCTTTGGCACCATGCAGTCACACGCACCTTTGGCACCATGCAGTCACACGCACCTTTGGCACCATGCAGTCATCACCGCCCTGGCGAGTATGTCACACGCCCAGCATGTCACTTCACACGCCCAGCATGTCACTTC